CATTAGGGTAAATTTGTGCTTCCATTGACACTGTATCTTTGTATTTGGAGAGAGTAATATTTATAATATATATGTTTATTATATTTCTGTACTAACTATTTGCATGGTGATCCTGTGCTATGCTCGCTCTTGTTAGTAATTTCCTAATGTAATATTCTTTGATTATTCCTACCTAATGTGTTTTCTGTGTGAGTTAGTCTCACATTCCAGTGTGTTTTCTTGTGTGAATCTTCCAAAGTGCTAACTCCACCCACTGTGTGAATCTTATATCCAGTGATGTGCAGCTCCATGATATCACCGCAAGGTTGTTCAAGAGTCCTAATCCCTTAAACAATTGAATTTTGTTCAAGCCCCATAAGAATGGTTCATCATCATGTCATAGTGGCCTGTACTCTCACCTGAAAGAGAACTTGCTGGAAGTCACCAAGCAATGTATACCAGACATCGAGCTGGTATGGGCTTGACGCAATACAAAAGCAGTTTAGGGCAATCTGCTTTTTAAACAATGGTCCTGTCGTCATCTTAAAGCTTACAGAAATTAAGTTAAACTTAAATTTATTATCAAAACTAGCTGTTGATGGGCTTCAAATTGAGTTTTTTTTTAAGATGCTGGCAGGAGACGGAGAGGTGGTGGAGGGTTGCTTTTTGGACTGGAGCCTTGTCACCAGTGGTGTTCCACGTGGATCAGTTCGGGGTCCTCTTTTTGTTTGTTATTTATACCAAATGATTTGGATGAGAATATAGAAGGTATGATTAGTAAGTGTGCAGATAACACCAAAATTGGTGGCATGTTAAACAATGAAGGAGGTTTTCGAAGATTATAAAGGGATCTTGATCAAATGGATCAATAGGCTGAAAAATGGCAGATGGAGCTCAGCCTGGATAAATGTGAAGTATTGTGTTTTGATACAACAAAGAAGGGTAGGGGCTTTTACAGTTAATGGTAGGCCCTTGGGTAGTAGTGTAGAATAGAGGGACCTAGGGGTTCATGTACACAGTTCTTTCGAAGTTTGCATCCCCTATAGACAAGGTGGTTAAAAAGGCATTTGACACGCTTGCCTTCCTTGCTCAGCCGTTTGAGTATAGTAGTTGGGAAGTCGTATTGAGGTTCTACAGGACATTGGTGAGGCCTCTTCTAGAATATTGTCTCCAGTCCTGTTATATGAAGGATATTATTAAGCTGGAGAGGGTTCAGAAAAGATTTACCAAGATGTTACCAGGTATGGATGGTTTGAGTTATAAAGAAAGGCTGGATAGGCTGGAACTTTTCTCGCTGGAGCGGAGATGGTTGAGAGGTGACCTTAGAAGTTTATATAATAATGAGGGGTATAGATAGTTAATGGTGTTGTCTTTTCCCTAAGATTAGGGGGCACATTTTTAAGGTGAGGGGAAGAGATTTGAAAAAGACACGAGGGTCAAATTGTTTACAGGCAACCGTTCACGTGTGGAATGAACTTCCTGAGGAAGTGGTAGATATAGGTACAGTGTTTAAAAGACAATTAGATAAGTACATGAATAGGAAAGCTTGGGAGGGATATGGGCCAGGAGCAGGCAGATGGGACTAGTTTAGTTTGGGATTATGTTCAGCCTGGATTGGTTGGATCGAAAGATCTGTTTCTTTGCTCTATGACTCAATGACTGTTTCCTAGGCAATATTTTCCAGAATCAGAAGTGTATATTTTTGCCACTTTTAAGTTCAATTAGATTTACAACATGATATATCTCATGTGTTTATAATGTGTCTTGTTTATTGTCGATTGAATTTGGGTATTTTTGATGCCTTGGTGAAGAAAGTGAAGAGACAGATTGCCTGACTTTTCCATCAGAGTTGGGATGGCATTGAGAGTTTCTTACCTTGGCTACGAGTTTGTTTCCAAATGTCACAGGAGTTAAATGGGCTGAATCAATCTTGCTCTTTTCTTGCATTCGTCATATCAGCCTAAAATCTTTCCAGTCTGCAGCACTTGCATTCATTCTTCCAATGAATCCTCCGTGTCCAGGTTTACAGTGCAACTTACAAGGAATCTTATTTGTTACTTATCTAGGGCTGTAGATATTTGAACCATAAATATGCACGCGATCCTGGAAATAATGCATAGCTAAATATTTCACTGGTGCTGTGAATTTCCATGATATTTTAATATTTAACCTCTACCTTTTAGTTAATTCTAAGCTTGATTGAGTTTTCCGGAGAGGGCAGTGAGCTTATGTGACTATCTTTGTCTTTACCAGGAAGACAACACGTATGCACTTTTTTTCTGCATTATCTTCTATTAATTAAATGGTGTAACTTTCTCTTTACTGCCTCGGGTTGTCTGGTTTATTCCACTGCTGGCCAAGACTTCCCAACCTTTGAGGTGTTGGGGTGGTATAGTGGCTCAGTGGTTAGCACTGTTGCCTCACACTGCCAGGGATCCAGATTCAATTCCAGCCTTGGGCAACTGTCTGTGTGGAGTTTGCACATTCTCCCCAAATCTATGTCGGCTTCCTTTGGACTGCAGGACAATATGGGAGCATCCAAAGATGTGCCACTTCTGTGGATTGGCCATGCTAAATTGCCCTTAGTCTCTGGGGATCTGCAGGCTAGATGGGTTGGCCATGGGAAATATAAGATTACAGGGATAGGATAGGGCAGTGGGTCTCCGTGGGATGCTCTTCGGAGGGTTGGAGCAGACTCGATGGGCCAAATGGCCTCTATCTGCACAGTACGGATACTGTGATTAGTTAGATCTTGCTTATTAAATGAACAGTTGCATTGATGCCTGTTTCATCACCACTATGTCTGTACCCTTAAACATGGCAGCTGCATGTTCTGGAAAGTTGTTCCTGTGTCCTGTTTACTGGATAAACAAAACTATTCTTTGTGTTTCATTGTGAGACTCCAGCTGCTCTGATATTTGGTTGAGAGATGTGCTGGTGTCCCCTGCCTCTAACGAATTGGTCCTGCAGAATTGTTCAATGAATCCAGCAGGTTACTTTTGAATTTAAGCTGGGACCTGGAAAGATTGCACTTCCCAAAAAAAAATGCAGTTCTTCCTGCCTTCCAACTTTAAGAAAATCAAACAAGTCTATTCCAGTTTGCCAATACTCACTAAAACTCATAAGCCAGGGGCTGGCATCACTGCTTCAATGTAAAATCTATTTCAAATGCCAATTTGTTCTGTTCTTGTGAAATGAAAGGAAGAGGAAAAGTACCATTTGAAGAAGACTGAAATTCTGTGTTGGAATATGTACATTTTTGTGAGTACATTTGGAGAAGATCACAGGCCTTGTCTAATAAATAGGTCTTGATATTTCAGAGGCAAAATAATGAGTAATTTAATTGAATAATTTAATAAGAGGCAAAACTTGCTTTAGTCTTCCATGATTTTCCATTTTCCTTTATCTTCCTAAATAGAAGTCAATTGCTCCAGAGTGGTCGTCACTGCACAGTCGCAGACCGTTCTGCTTGAATAATTAACACCAAATGAAACATCTACAATCATTCCAGAATACACACCACAATGTGTGGCTAATTTCATAAATAATAATGGATTATTGAGAGATTTGGGAGATTTTAAAAAAGCTAGTTTCCCTCGCATCTTGGAGAAGCGGCACACAAACAGAAAAGTAAAATACTGCATTCCAATCATCTTATGAGACCTTTTTCTTTGCATTCTTGTGGGTCTGGTCTGCATCTGGTGGACTATGATGGGGACAAAAACACAAAACTGGGAATATACAGTTTCACCAGAATAATACAAGGATTTATAAGGGTTAAGTTGATGACATGTTGCAAAGTCTAAAGCTTGTATTCCCTTAAGAGTTGTTTGTCCCATTGAGTTGTTCAAAACAATAACGGTCTTGATAGCATACAGAGAAGTTTCAAGTCTTTTAGCAAAGATCTGTAGCTCGGGTTGTGGGTGAGGTTGTTGACTTGATCGCCGAGCTGGCTTATTGTATATAGGTTTGCCATATACAAACGCATACAGAACAAAACTGGAAATGACACTACTTACCATAATGAACCAGACAATATAAATTCCAAGCAGAGTAGAGCAACATCACTTCATCGGAGGCCTCACTGACGATGTTACCTAGTATGCTGATGAAACGTCCGAATGAAAACAAGCCAGCTTGGCAAGCAAGTCAACAACCACATACAGAGAAATTTTTTCCCTTTGTGGGGCTATCTAGAAAAGAGCAAACAATCCTGAAATTAGAGCTAGGGCCTTTCAGGATTGAATTGAAGAAACCTGTTTGTATACAGTGGAGGGAAATCTGAAACTTTCTTGCCCCCAACCAAAAGCTTTGAATACTCGATAACTGAAATGTCAAACTGATCAACGGCTAGGGATCAAATTCAGTTAAATGACGGTGAATGGAGAAAAAAGGTCATTGGGCTGAATGGCTTACTCTGTATATAAAATGGTTTGGAACATTTACAAGATGGATAGTGACTGTAGAGTGCTAACAAAAGTAGCTTGCTCACAACCAGTGATGGTTCAGGTTAAATAACAGGTTTCATGAAGAATTAAAGGATTGACTTTAATAACTTCCTTTTTCATCAAAAGGAATGAATGTCTCCCATTCTGCACTTTGCTGTCTACATGCCGGTCTAAAATTTACTGTGGGGAATGTTGAAGGGATGAGTGCGTATTTTACCATTTCACAGGACTTGATGTTGGGGTTCGAAGAAGCTACGTAACCACCTGCTTATTGTGGGAATAACACTTAATCTTCAACATTCATGACCATCTTTAAAATCTCAATGACTTAAAAAGAGAAACTGTTTTGGCTCAGGTAGATGCCACATTGTCCAGATAGCAAACATGCATCCAACCTCAATCTATGCCATATGCATCTCTTTAATGGGAATGTACCAGAGGTGATGGTGCTAATATTCTGATTGTGTATTAAGAGCTGACTGCTTGAAATTCTCTGCCTAACCCCAAACTACTTGTTCTCTCACCGCTTTCTTTTTTAAGTAACAGCGATTTCCTTTCTTTCTTTCCTCCCAGGTCTGTCTGGCAACCCAGCTGATCTTGACAAACGGAAACAAGTGTTTGGTCAGAACTTCATACCACCCAAAAAGCCAAAAACATTTCTGCAGTTAGTATGGGAAGCACTACAAGATGTAACTTTAATTATACTAGAAATTGCAGCCATTATATCTTTGGGCCTTTCCTTTTACCGCCCTCCTGGAGGGGACAGCGAATGTAAGTGTTCAGAACGTCTCTTATTAAAGAATGGTACCCGCAAAAATATCTATAAGCTGGAAAATCATCTAATTACAATAATTATTGCGTATATACACAGCATCATAATCTCTAATGGCAAGAGTCTTGTGCAAAAAATTGACTCTGTTTCCAGTTTTTCAGATCTGTGATGATTGTGGCCAAACGTCTGTTCACTGATTACTCCTCTCCTCCAGAAATAGTGCAGTATGGGAGATATTAAATACTATAGGAGTAGGGAAGGAATGAAAACCATTTCAATTTACATTTAAAGATACGTGGGTGGGGAAACTTGACTAGGGATAAGATGCTGTCTCTTTTGTGCCCAGGCATTGGATCGACATCCAGTCCCATTAGTGATTTATAATAGTATGCGCCAGGCCAGACCCCTTCAAAATATTTTCAGAAGATAGCCTAGACCCTAACTTTTTGTTATTTTAAAGGTAGATGTGAAGTGCCATGTTCCAGATGCGATGCGGCTGGTCAAACTACTTTACGTTAAGCAAAATACAGTTTATTTAAACACTAAAGTTAAAGTACAAACAGAAGAAAGAGGAATTTAGAATAACTTAACCAAATTGAAGGTTTTTGAGTAGATTTGTAGCTCGGGTTGTCAATGCGGTTGTTGACTTGCTCACCGATCTGGTAAGTTTGTTTGCAGACATTTCGTCACCATACTAGGTAACGTCATTAGTTACCTAGTGGTGAAGTGTCAGTGTTCTGTCCTGCTTGCTATAATGTGTTTCAGTTTGCTGGAGTGGGTGGCATCGCTTCAGGATTTGTTCCTTGGTGGTTGGTATATAGGGCCCAGCTCTACATGTTTGTTAATGGAGTTCTGGTTTGAATGCCAGGCCTCCGGGAATTCGCATGCGTGTTTTTGGTTGGCTTGTCCTAGGATGGCTACGTTGTCCCAGTGGAATTGGGGTCCCTCTTTGTCAGTGTGTATTGAAATGAGCGATAGTTGGTCAAGTCTCTTGGTAGTTGGTGGTCATGAATTGTGATGGTAAGTTTTTCCCTCCAGTTTTCCCTATATAATGCTTTTGACTGTCTTTGCATGGTATCTTGTAAACAACATTGGTCCTGTTAGTTGTGGTTGTTGGATCCTTTATTCTCATCACTAGCTGTCATAGTGTAGTTGTCGGTTTTTGGCGATCATGATTTCTAGGGGGTGGACTAATCTGGTGGTTATTTCAGAAATGTCCTTCATGTGTAACAAAAACGGAAGTTGCTGGAAAAGCCCAGCAGGTCTGGCAGCATTGGTGAAGAAAAAAATCAGTTAAAGTTTCGGGTCTAGTGACCCTTCCTCTGAACCAGAGGAAGCCGCAGTATCCCGGAGCTACGCAAAGCCGAGGAAGAACATCTTGCAGCATCTTTAGAAACAATGGTTACCCAAAAAGCGTAGTCCGCCAAACCCTACACAACAGACCACCACAACAGGAAGACACAACACGTCCAGAGACACTAGTCACCCTACCATACATTAAGGACATGTCTGAAATGACCACCAGATTACATCACCCCCTAGGAATCATGGTAGCCCACAAACCGACGGCTACTCGTGAGAATAAAGGATCCAGCAACCACAACTAACAGGACCAATCTTATTTACAAGATACCATGCAAAGTCTGCCAAAAACATTATATAGGGAAAACTGGAAGGAAAATCTTGCCATCAGGATTCATGACCACCAACTATTACTCATTTCAAAACACACTGACAAAGAGGGACACCGATTCGACTGGGACAACCTAACCATCCTCGGACAAGCCAACCAAAGACACGCACGAGAATTCCTGAAGGCCTGGCACACAAACTAGAACTCCATTAACGAACATGTGGAGCTGGAGCCCACCCACCCCAGCAAACCGAGACACACAAATAGCAAGCGGGACAGAACACTGACACTTCACCGGAGGTGCACTGATGATGTTACCTAATATGGTGATGAAACGTTTGCAAACAAACTTACCAGGTTGGCAAGCAAGTCAACAACCACAATTTAACCAAGTAATAGAGACAGTTCCTATTCCTATTTAACTGTTCCAATATAGTAACATTCCATAAACAAACGCCTTCGCAAAAATGCAAATTCAGACAAATTCTTGCATGCAGTTCTCCAATCCAAGAGGAACAAACATCAAGGGAAAGTAGCAGCCAGGAGACATTCACTGAAGCTCCAACTCTTCTGAGATCCCAAAGGCGTCTGCTTAAAACTAAAGCTAAAAACTGAAAAAGCTAGAAAGCCAGGTCTGAGAAACGTGGCCACATCCAGACTGCTTCCATTGTTACGACTTCTTTTTAAAAAAACTCCAAGGCCTCTCAAACTCTTAACTTCCATAAAGACACCGCCTCACCTCCTGCCTTACAACCTGTCTTCAAAGCAAAAGCAGGACAAAATTACCTCCTTAAAGGGACAGCATCATCACAATAAGTAAATTAATTTGAATACCCTGGGGCACCTGCTCATCAGAGGAACTTTGTGCAAGAGCTAACCAGAATTATTAGCCTGTACAAGGAGAAAAATGGCTTGGTTTAAATTGAACCCCATTCCAAAGTTGGATAATGTTTTCTTCCTAAACATTGTTCCTACTTGTTAAATGTGCATTGAAAATATATCACTTTAGATTTTCCTCCTGATTTGAAATTTTACCGTTCTACAGGGTTTTGAAGAAATTGGATAATGCCAAGAAATTTCTAATTGAACATACATAGATCAATGATTAATTGTGTACTGTTTGGCGCCACTTTTAGTTTCTATCGGCTCCTTGATTAAGGCAACGTGGCCCTAGATTGCAGTCACTCATTTATATAAAGAGGAGGCTGTGAAGTAATGAATATGCCACCAGAGACACTGGATTACTAGCCTAATGTTCTAGGGGCGCACTCACTGTGGCAGACAGGAAAACTTGACTCCAACAAAGTTTGGGAGAAAAGTGCTTGCTGGTTGTTGTAAAAACTCATCTCGATCATTAATATCCTTCAGGGACGGAACAGCTGTCCCTACCTGATCTGGTCTACATTTGACTTCAGACTCCCAGCAATGTGATTGACTTTTAACTGCCCTCTGTGCAACAAGAAATGTTATTAAAAGGTAAAGCTAGTGATGCCCACATTCTGTGAATGAATTTTGATGCAGGATGTAAAAGTATTTTTTTTCCCCATTTGAAAACTTGATAGCGCCACCAAGTGAAAGGCATTTTTTTAAAAAAAGTATTTTATTTTTCTAACTGTTGTGCGTAAGGGTGGATCCTAATTGATAATAACTTTATCCAGTCTGGTCTTTCCATCTATAATTGTCTTTTATCATATATCTTGCAGTATGTGGGGAAGCTACAGGTGGAGAGGATGAAGGAGAGGCAGAAGCTGGCTGGATTGAAGGTGCAGCTATTCTCCTCTCTGTTATTTGTGTGGTGCTGGTGACAGCCTTCAATGACTGGAGTAAGGAGAAGCAGTTCCGCGGGCTGCAAAGTCGCATTGAACAGGAGCAGAAGTTCACTGTGATCCGCAAGGGTCAGGTTATCCAGATTCCAGTGGCGGAAATTGTTGTGGGAGACATTGCTCAGATTAAATATGGTGAGTAGTGAATAGAGGAAAGGTACAGAAAGATTGCAGTTTGTTACGCACTCACCGTTATAATGTTGGATTATGAAGAGTCCTTGCAGAATGTTCGTTCTTGCTTTTTGCTAGATTAGAGTACCTTTTTATATAATGCAAAGTGATCCCAAAGCATGAGTTCAATTCCCCACTGGCTGAGATTGCCATGAAGGGCTCTCCCTCTCAATCTCACTTGAGGCATGGTGACCCTCTGGTTAAACCACTACCAGTCGTGTCTGTCTAATGGGAGATCAGCCCTATGATCTGGTAAGACTAAGGCTATGACTTTACCTTTTTAGAATACAATTTCAAATGTTGAAAGGTATGTGTTGCATATGGAACTTATTCTACATTTCTACCTTTACGAGTTCATAAGATTTTATCTTGGCTTCTGGTCATATCAGTACTTAAGTCTTATACAAATGTCCTTTTCATGTTAACCCAGTTCTGTCTTTGTCCATAGTTCCTCAGTTTTAGCCTTGAGTACAGTTCTCACCCTTGGACCGTGATGCTCAAGTAAACACGTATTTTGTATAAAGTTGACATTAAAGTAAGTTCGTCAAAAAGTCAAATTTAACTTGGGCAAGTGATGGTGCTGAGCCAGCTGAAAGCTAAAGGACGTAAATATTGGTTCACCAAAGAAATGCTATTTGGTTTGTTGAATTTGGAACTTTCTCCAAAGACAAAGGGTAGAAACACTAGTTTGTTTGGAAATCTGGTTTTAGAATCCTTGCAGAGAGAAAAAGGCTACCGAGCTAGGGAAAGTATGAAAATTGTTCCTGCCAGGCAAAAGATAATTTTTGTGGCAAATATAATTTTTTAATTGTAAATGTGCAAAATTGCTGTTGGCATATAACTTGGCTCCTCCTAGGACCTTGTGTCCCTGCCTCTGAGTCAATGGGTCTGGGTTCGGACATGTGATAATATTTCCAAGCAGGTTGATTTGAAAATAGTTAGTACTCTTCTCCTCCTCCCACGATGGCTGTTCTAACTTTTAGCAGTGAAAAAATACCATTGGATCCTATGGATGGTTCATTGCTTGTGAACACTGAACTGTTTGATTGTCGCTGCCGTGCAGGAGAATTAATTCTGTGCACAAACCAGAAACATCACTTATGATTTTAAGATTCTTGGATACTGTCTTGCATTCAACTTATTTCCTAAACTGTTGCTGAACAGAGGTGGTTATGTTCTTAGGAAGTGCTGCTTGGAATTTGGATGTAGGTCAATCAGTTTGAATGTAGAATTAATGGAGGGTTCCAGTTGGAAGGAGCCAAATAAGTGTATGCATGTTTCAAATTTAGTACCATTTTCCCCTTCCAAAAACCAAGAAATGTCAAAGTTTAAATGCTGTTTAGAGGCTGTTTTGCTGTTACGTCTTCTAAAAACAAATCTTTATTTCCTTTATTTCTTCTGAATTTTAATGAGCCTGTGCCTTTGAACTAGATTTCTAGTTTGTGAGCGAGTGTAAATTGTGGACTGAAATATTCTTGTACAAGAGATCTTTGCAAAGTCAACTCAGGTTTATAAATGCCTGCAAAGCATTAGCAGTCACTTTAATTTCTGGTGTCTGTACATTGCTGACAGCTGATATTTGGTTTTCCATGTGTTCGACATGATTTGCGTTACTTTTCAATGAAAGGAAGCATTGATTGGAATGCGTAATAGATGACCAATCCTATGGACCAATTCTACAGTTCTGAGGAAGGGTTACCGGACCAGAAACGTTAACTCTGTTTTCTCCTACACAGATGCTACCAGATCTGCTGAGCTTTTCCAGCAACTTTTTGTTTTTGTTACCAATCCTATGGCACCTGTTTTACGCCAACGGTTAAAATAACCTTCATTATGTCTGTTTGCTTCTGACTACCTAGAAGAAAAAGTTATATTGAGCAAGGCTAAAACATTGGGAACAATACACACCTTGCGTGTTTGCACTGTTTGCTTTAAAGCACATTCCAGCCTGTCAATGAGAAATGCTAGGACGTGTTGCCGTGGCATTCTGCTCTTGGTCAATTTGTATCCCATCTGTGATCAGCTGTCAAGGATTATAAGATTCTGGAAATGCTCTGCAGGTCAGGAAGCACCTGTAGAGAGAAACGGAGTTAACATTTCCGCTTGATACTGGGATGCTAACTCTGTCTCTCTCTACAGGTGCTGCCCAACCTGCTGACTTTTGTTTTTGTGTTGTGTTTCCAGCATCTGCAGCATTTTGCTTTCATAGGAATGTGAAATGATTTCTTTGTCCTCCACAGGTGACCTTCTGCCAGCTGATGGTATCCTCATCCAAGGCAATGATTTAAAAATAGATGAAAGCTCCTTGACAGGAGAGTCAGATCATGTGAGGAAATCAATGGAGAAGGACCCAATGCTACTGTCTGGTGAGTTTTGCATCCTTTCATTTAAAGATAATCAAAGGACAGATTACGAATAATTTAGACTGTTGGAGGTGTTCAGTTGTTTTGGGCCTGTTTGGAGCTAATTTTATCTCCTGGTGAGAAGCCAATAGGAATACTTAGTCATCAAGCTACAGAATGGGATGCCCAACAAATTTTCTTACTCTAAATGTCACCAAATAGTTGCCTGTTGGTAAGGTAGGAGAAGAAGGGAAATAATATTGCCAGTCTCTCAGAAGGCAACCAATTAAACCAGGTTGAGGGTGTTGACTAGGTGTCGTAGCCAGTGGGCAGGAAACCTAGTGTATTAGAGATCTGGACTCATTGGGATTAGAGCAGCATTGCTGCCCCAGTAAGCTTTTTGTTTAAAGAAAGACTTGTAGTGGAGAGTTTTGCTGATTTCTTTGTTCACGTCACCTGCAACAACCAGAACTGACAACTTGCCTGGAAGGTTAATATTTTAAAGGATCTCTGTATGACCCCAAATTGCATGGTTCTTAATGAGGGTCATGATGGAATCTGGTAAGTCACGGACTCCGCCATGAATACATAGAGTCAGCATAAATGCGATGACAGACAAAACTGCTGTCAGTTACTTATCTGCAAATTAGGGAGAGGTGAAGTTTCCCTGTATGTGCTTCCTTAATCAGTCTGACTGAATTTTTGTTTTTTCTTTGCTTCTTACACAATCTCTAAGACATATTTCTGATCTTTATATCCTGTCACTTTTAACTTGGCTAGTTTCTCAGATGCAGCTGAAAAGGAATACAATGTATGTCTGTTACACTTGCTTCCTTTGTTTGAACTGAGACATCCCTTATCAGAATAAAGGATTGTTTTTCTTCAGGAGGTTTTGCATCTCTGTAAACCAGCTTGAATTTCTTCTTTTACTACTTGTCACAGGGAATTGAAAAAGCTCTACCTGTACCTCACTCACTTTAGTTTGTCTCCCAGGCTTAGACAGACCAGTGCTACTGATATCATCTTATCCATATTATACTGAGGGCAGTTATGTGTTGTATGCTTTACCAGGAGTTTTGGCAGCTTAATGTAACTTGCCACGGTGACCATTACTCAGCCCTGAGCTTAGACTAAAGACTAGCAATCTGTTTGACCATGAGGCAATATGTTTCTTTGTTCTTCACTAAAATTCTGATGTACAGCCTGACAGAGATGACTGCGCAATGGTCAGAAGTAGAGAACATGGCTGGATTTTGTTTTTCTCCACCCATCTCTCATCCTCCGACTAGCACAGAATTGTTATAACCAATATCCGCTTACCCCTCGGAGCTGGTTACAATTGGCTAACAGGGCACAGATGAGGAATTCCATTTTAATAGGCATTATAGAATTTTACAGCATGGAAAGGGGTGTTTTGGTCCATCGTATCCGTGCTAACCATCAAGCACCTATCCAGTCTAATCCCATTTTCCAGCACTTGACCTTGTATGCTGTGACTTCTTCATGTGTTCATCATCTAAATACACCCTTAAATATTGTGAAAGTTTCAGCCTCTACCACCTTGTCGGTTACTGAGTTCCAGATGCCCACCACCTGGAAGATTTCTTCCTTAAATCCCCTGTAAACCTCTTGCCCTTTTATATTTATGTACATACTCTATCTATGCCTCATCTAGAACGTCATGATTTTATTTCTCCCTAATATGATAATCTAGTGGTGCTAAATATTTTCATTTTTAAAGTTTGTGAATCTGTAAAATGCACAAGTCTTCAAAAATTGCAGTACCCTGATGTATTTGGAATTATATTATTGGAATCTCGCTTGACATCTTACTGTTTCCTTCTCCATCGCCTTTATTGCCTATTTTCCTTGAACTCGAGAAAAAGAGAACTTTACATCCGGTGTGGGGTTTTGATATCACTGTACTGTTCCCTATGTGAGTGATGGCACCAAGTGGCTTGCTTCAGCCATTTGGAGAAGCCCCTAATTTCTTACATTGCTCTACCCAGCCAAGCCACCCACTGTGGGAAACCAGAAAAGATTTACAAGGGTTGGCAGGGTTGGAGGGTTTGAGCTATAGCGAGAGGCTGGGGCTATTTTCCCTGAAGTGTTGGAGGATGAGGGGTGAGAGGTTTATAAAACCATGAGGGCATGGATAGGGTGAATAGCCAAAGTTTTCCCCTGGGGTAGGGGAGTCTTGAACTAGAGGGCATAGATTTAAGGTGGAAGGGGCAACTTTCTCATGCAGAGAGTGGTGTGCTATGGAATGAGCTGCCAGAGGATGAATGTTGAGAAGGGTACAATTGCAGCATTTAAAAGGCATCTGGATGGGTAAACGCATAGGAAGAATTTAGATGGAAATAGGCCAAATGCTGCAAATGGGACTAGATTAATGTAGGATATCTGGTCGGCATGGACGAGTTGCACCGAAGGGGCTGTTTCTGTGTTGTACTGTTCTGGCTGTAAGTCTACATGTGAATGGCCAGGTCTGAAACACACTCTTTACTAATTTAACAACTAGTGTCCAAAAATTAGTACTAGGCCACCAACTCCAGTCATCTTAAATGTAAGTAGTAACGTTTTACCCACATTTGTCTTTAGGTACCCATGTAATGGAAGGCTCAGGACGGATCCTGGTAACTGCAGTAGGTTTGAACTCCCAGACCGGTATCATTTTCACATTATTAGGAGCAGGTAGTGATGAGGAAGAGAAGAAAAACAAGAAGGGTAAGTAGGCTCCTTTGTGTCCCTTGACGTTAAAAGTGACTGACCGATACTTTTTCATTTTCACCTGAGTTATTTCTGGATTGCATATTTCAATTTTCAAGCAGTATAGCAGTCTAAATCTTGGGCCTCCACGGTGTACAATTTGTATATGTTTGTGCTCACAGGGCCACCAAATTGCAAGTTATGACCACATATTATGTGAGCACTGTTGCCTTTTGTTTTACGCTACAATTTTATTCTATGACAATGATTTGAGTGTTAAGTATTCCATCATCCTGTACTGTACTATGGTAATCAAAGGTATTTGTCTAAGACGCTGTACTCACATTTGCCAATTCATTATCATCCCTCTTGTTTTTGTTTTCAGTCTTAAAACTGCAGTGATGATCCAGATTTCTTTGTAATAGAACAGACAATGCAATAACGGCAAACCAAGTAGAATGTTTGTTTCTTTTTCCATGATTTGCTTATTATGTCATAATTTATTCTCATGGCTTTAAATTAAGTTTAATATTCTCTCCTATAAATGTAGGGGGAAGGACTTAATACACTAATATGTGAGAGTGACTTTTTCAAATGATGTTGCCTAGGAGAATGCTTTGTATTTCAAGAGGCTTCATTGTGTGTCTATGTGGACCTAATTCAAGATTACAACCTCCAATAATCAAGTATATCCTGCTGTGCGAAATGGAATAAAGCAATATTTAAGGTGTCACAATTAATTTTGCATATCTGCTACGAGTTACTGCGTACAACTTTCTCCAAAATGCATTTACTTCTGATGGACAAACACAGAATTCAAATGTATTTTTATTTTTCATTTATGACATTATTGTTGAGATTTATCACTTGCTGAAATTTCTTATTTTGTTCATTTTCTAAATATGGATATTATTAGCTTGGCTGGTACTTATTGTCCAGCCCAAGTTACCCTGAAGGAGTGGTCAGCTACCTTAACTTGTGACCTAAAAAAGCAGTTGGTCATATCAGTGGACAACTAATGATTAAGCCCATCAGAACAGAACTGGAGTTGTTTGTACTCCAAGCTGGGTGAAAACTGCACATTTCCTTCCTAAAGGGTATTAGTGAATTAGTTCAATTTTTTTATCCTTTTTTATTAAATTATTAGTCCAATAACATCCACCACATTATCATATCCATTTGTAAATTAATGGTATTAAGTGTTGACCCTATTTGTTTTGGCATGAGCAAATTTATAATTATTGCCAGGCGTTCTAGATTTGCTATGTTTTATGTGCTTTATAATTTAAAATTGGGGCTTAAGTGTTACAAGCTCTTTGTAGTTAAGAGGTTTGATTTGTACTTGTATCATTAGATCCCGCACCATTCATTTCTTTGAATCTTCGCCAAGGAGTTGACTCCTGGGTTTTTTGAGATGAACAAATGTTCTGACCTGCATCTGGAAATGTTACTTGCATAGCAGACTGTCAAGCCTATTTACCCAGCACGTAATATTCTTTTATTATACCACGTAATATTCTTTTATAGGACATCTGATAGGGATTCATTTTGGTAATGATAGATTGTAACTGAAGTCTGTTGAAATACAAGCTGGTGACATTACACTGTATAAAAGTTAGCCTTTTAAGTAGCACATTTTATTTTTAATTGACAAAGTCACAGTTTTTTTTTTAAATCTCTGAAAGCCCGCACAGCAACACCTCCAAGGATAAATGTAATTGCACAGTTTGGAGTTCATACTTATAACACTATAACTGGTTTTTGATCAGTAGTGGGTCACTGATTCCTGAAAATTTCGGAATTCGTGACTACGGTCAACATTATTGGGTTGTCCATTCTAAAGCCTGGTAGGCTGTCTAGCAATGAATATCTGGATCTTTTTCTGCTGTTGTTTATTTCACCCTGACAACCATTTCTTTTCATTTTCTATTATGAATCAGGCAGTGTAGCAAGACGTAATAACCTTGGTACTGGCACGTGTTGCAGTGATTTTTTTTTGACATTGATTCTCTTTTTTTAAATAATTCACACGTTTTATTTGCTAGTTAACCAGCTTTTAAATGGTGTGGCGTTCATAATGGCTTTAAAATGGCATGTGGCTTAAAATGGTTAATATTCTTTTCTTCCCCTTCCCTGCTATTGGATGTACAGTGAAAGGACTGATGGTGCACCAAGCATCTTCCAGCTTCCTTTTAGAATTACCTCTGTTGGCCTAAAAAGGTTGAATGCTTGGAGGGTGAGCAGTTTGACTACATGTAATGTCCCATCTTCAAAATAAAATTGCATTCCACTGAATGGCAAAAAGTATTGTAAATGATGTAAAAAGCCATGACTTCTCCTTTCAACTTAAGAATCACATTTTCATAGTATGCGATCACATCATCTATCATTTGTAAAACTTGCCCAATACACCAATCCCCAAAAGGAATGGACTGGGCTTAATGAAACTTGTAGAAATGCTTTTTAATCTCAACAAATATATTCCTAAATATGCTTTCTAAAAATAAATAATTAAGGCTAGTATCTTTTGTAGTTGGTTAACATAAGCTGGTGTTTAAAAATAATTGTCCTCGAACTGAGGTGGTAAATGTAATATTCCCCTCAAGTTGGCCATGATTTTTGGTTAGCTAATTTCTTAGACAATAATCAAGACAATCTGGACACTATCCATATAAAATAGAATATTTTACAAGGTTGGTGTTTTCACTTATTTTAAGAAATATTCAATATTAAGCCAACCTACTGCCTAAACCCATCTGAATAGATAATGTGTTTATAACCGGCCTGCACTTTGAAACATATATAAGATGTTAATACGTTTTGACCACAGAAGCTCATTCACCCATTTAAGGGCTTTGGTTGTAGAAATAGTTTTGCAAATTCTTCACCATTCTTTCCATGTGCTTTAGGATGCTGCTGTTATCTTCTGGAAAAGGATTTCTCAGGCCCTATCTATGAATAGAAGATAACTAGTCTTTAGCCATCTTGCACACGTTGCTCTCACTTCTCCAAATAATGTGTTTATTATCGTAAAAATTTTGTAGCTGACTTGCAAAATGGTTAAAGTTGGATGATGTTTCTTCTGTTTAAAATGCTGTAAAGTCATAAAAAGGTCTTTCACTGTTATCTGTATAGCTATTTGCTCTAAGAAAGGTTTATCTTTATGATTTACCAACGATTTAACTTTCAACATCTTAACGTGTCAACAATATGTATTGACCAGCTAGCTACTTTTGCTGGAATACTGATCTTTGCCCACTTGACTGCATCCTCAAATTGTAATCCTAATTTAGACTGGGGGCTGACAGCAAAACGAGGAATAAGGTTTGAAATTCCACAAGAGCTTTTGAGGCTTCTGTTTCGCAACATGCACCTGATTCAGGAGCCTTGTGATTTATTTTAATCTGAGGACTCTCAGAATTTAGAGGGATAAGGAAACATTTTGTTCTTTAATCATGAGGGTGCTTCTTCATCAATCTGTTCTACCTGAAGTAGACCACGGACTGGGTTCTGATGGAAATGATTTAAAACCATACTTTATTGTGAAGCACGTAACAGACTGACAATAAAACAGTCGGATGCCATTTAGGGACTTGTACATCTTTGATTTTGCAGATGGATTGTGTAGTGAAACCCTACTCTCTTCAATAAAATATATTGTCATCAAATGTGCAGTTTAGAACATTAGTATCCAAATATCATTGGAAATGAGTCATTTTCTCCCATATCATTAAAAGGGAATTATACCTTGAATTTTTTTAAATACTGTAATTAACCCTTTCTACATTGGTTGATCCTGTGCCTAAGTATTTCTTCATTCTGGAATTTGGTCATTCTTCACTAGTCATTGTGTTCAAATAGACAAGTGATTTAAAATTAGATTGGGTCTACTTGAAGCGTAAACTGGTTATTTTTGGCTTTAAAATCTTTCATTCTTTATGGCCAGAAAGTGTGTTCCATTGACAACCTCGCTAAAGAGGTTAAAAATTGGAAATCAAGGAACCCTGGACCTAACATGGCCACTTCGGGTTTTAACATGGCGCTGCAGATACCCTCTGGCAAGCAGGCTATCTGTAGGAAAGGTACATTTTTGAATTGAGATTGCTTACCTTAAATTTTACCTGTGTTTTAAATCTAATATCTGCAAGCTAGGTATCCTAACTTGAAATGAGGTGAGAATGGCCTGATCGAACAAATAAGTGCATTTCGAGGAATGTGTGAGAGTTAGAGGACCGTTGTACGAGCACTTGGTGCAATCGAATCTGCCATCGTCCCTGAAACCTGACCACCCTCCTGTCCTCGCCCCAGCCGCTGAGTGACCTTGCAATGCCTGTGACTGCTCTCTCAGGCTCTCCCAGCTGTCCACATCTCCACCTGGCAACTGTGGTCTTGTGCTGCAGACCTTCCTGCTCAGTAGTCAGCCAGCTTATCAATCTGATGGGCTGTCAGCTGGGAAATGGTGTTCAAAAGTATAAACTTCATTAAATTCAGGGGTGAATTTCCCAACATCACCCCTCTGTAACTGTCACACACCATCATATCTGTACATTGTGAATTTGCAAGGCCAAGTACTTAAAAGACAGATTAAATATGTCCAAGAGATATCAACTGTATCTTGTCAATACAGATTGTGAATTTCAATTTTTATTTCAACAGTGCATCTGGTATTGGAGGGTGGTTGTATTCAGTGACATAGCAATTTTTGACCTATGTTCAGACTGGAATTTCAATCTTTTTATTTTAAAAAAAAAAATGTTTATTGCTAAAGAAATGTTCAAGGACTTCGATGTGACGTTGTTCCATTTCCTAATACAACCAAAAAGTATTTAACATGGTCAGTGCTGAAAGGTCTGGTAACAAATAGGAGAAACAACAGGGAGAAACTGAATAGTTATTTACAACCAATGTAAAATGTTAACCATGTTCAGCCCAGGTGAAACTTCTTCCTGAATTAAATTACGCAGGCTTCAAATGTAATTTGTTTGAACTTTTCTACATATTGCAAGTGACCTCCTCCATTTGACCAGATGTTGAATATGGCGTCTGTCAAATTTTTTGGGTTTTGCCACAACTTTGAGATGCTAATCGGAGGGTCTGCTGTTGACACTAGTCTATTGGGAGCAATCATACCTTTCCCATGGAAATTGCCAGTTTTATTCTTGGTCTGAAAAAAGGTTGCAACTCACAATGGTGAGCAAATAAAATTTGAGAAACTGAAATGATTTTCCAGTATTCCCATGGCACGTACTAACAGTCAACATTTCATTCCCAGTTTCCGGCACAACTAAACATGAGCCTTACATTATAGCATTTATGAAGTCATGTGACGAGCATTCCACCCTTTTTTGTTTGAACAGGTAAAAAACAAGGAGCCCCAGAAAATCGCAACAAAGGTAACCCTCATAAACATAGAAGAGCACACTAACTGGAAACATTCTTTCTTCCTTTTTTATTTTAACCATTATCCTTGTTCTTCAAATTCGCTAACACAGCGGGACCTTCACCTTCTGTTAATGGGGGTACAACGATTATTGAGAAAGCATGATCAGTTGCAACAGTGTTCAATACATATAGTAAAGCTGTTCTAGATAAGAATTCTTTATTTGGAACCTCTTCAACATTATGCCCAAAGCATCCTCTGTGGATCTGTCAGCATTTACTTAAGCAATATGTTGACACTGCCAGTTTATCCATTTGGTGTGATAGTTGTAGTGGCTGAAGGCTGATGATAACCTCTGTACTTATTGGTGAGTTGCTTGAAGTGTTAGGCTGAACAGTCTCTTGTACTTACAAGAGATATGGCGTAGATATTTTAATTACTACACATTTTTCCTGTACTTTAACTGCTTATTCTTTGCCACTCACTGTCATTGGCTATTTACTGTTGTTGGAAGGGACAGAAAGGCATGAAATTGCAGTAGGTATCTCCCAAATACCTGAGAGATTGTCAATAATAAGATCAACTAATTTATTAGACTTGTAACCATTAAAGTCTTTTAACCTCCAAAAATGAGAATTTGCTCACTTGTAACCCATTGAATGAGATAGCTATAACCATTCATTTTGAAAATTTTAATAAATTATTATCGCTGACTCTTATTTCCCCGCAAAAAAATTCAGACATGCTTGTGAAACCAACATCCTGGAGGAAAGCTCTAACAGAAATGTGGTGTAAATCAGATGCTTAATCAATTTCTTTTCACTTTTTGAAAACAGTAATCGTTGAACCCCTACTTTTTCTTTCATTGTCTCAACATTCACGTTGTGGTTTCACTGTTCCTTCCAGGCTTTGTGTGGAGGACCTCATACTTCACCTGCTCTGCAGTTTAGCTTGCCTTCCTTCAGCCTCTCTGACGTGGTCTTTGTTGTTTTTCTCCCACCCCCTTCTTTGTTGCTGTATGCTGACCTATGTAGGAAATTTGATTATTGAATAGATTCTAAAGGGTGTTGTAGGCTTATGAAGCTTGTTGACTTTCATTTGTAGCAGTGAAGTCATTGTGCTTTAATACAGATGATCATCATTGTTTTAGTAATGGAGAACTGTGTGTCAAAGCACAAACACGTTGTTGTATGGAACCTGCAAGTCTTTGACAATTCAACAAGCAAACATCTGAAGAATAACTTTCAGATCTCTGGATGTATAAGATCATCAGGAATGGGAGCAGGGATAAATTGTTCTACCCTTTTGAGCCTGTTTTACCATCCAACAAGACCTTGACTGATCTACTTAAACTAAACTTTTCTACACTAGTCTTACATCCTTTGCCGTACAATCCTCAAAAAAAATCCATCTTAATTGTATTCAATAATTCAGCATTCATTGCCTTCCAAGGTACAGAATTCTATAGATTCACAACTCTAAAGCCCAGAAATGTTGCCTCAGCTCAGTCCTATATGATTGATTCCTTTTCCTTGGACCGCAACCTGTTAATTCCAGACTCCCAACCAAGAAAACATCCTTCCAGCACGATTGAATGTTTCAATGAGATCAGTTCTTATTCTTTTCAATTCGAGGAAATTTAGGCCAAGTGTACTCGGTAAGGTCTGTAAGGCAAGGATTGCTTCCTTGGGTAATAGAACTCAGAAATATACACACTACTCCTGGTGATGTCTCACCAAAGTCCCTATATATTTGCAATAATATTTCTTGATACTCCAATCCCTTTTGTAATATAAGTTAACATAGCTTTCACCTTCATAATAGCTTGCGGTACCTGCATGTTACATCTGTGATTAATGTACAAGGACACCCATGCTCCTCTTAATCCCAACATTTCCAGCTTGCTTTTCCCAGCGGAATTTCTTCATCAAATTTTGATATTGTTCCTACTCTTTAACATCTGTTGACCGATCCTCATCCATGTTAATTGTCCCAAACCTTGAGGGCCCTCTTGTGTGGCACCTTATTCAATACCTTTTGAAAATCCAAAAGCTCTATACCCACTGACTTCCTTTTTACCCACCCTTCTAGTCACAACTTCAAACAAATTTTAATGGACTCGTCAAAACATGATTTTCCTTTCATAAATCTGTATTGACTCTGTCTGCCCATATTATTTTGATTTTTTTTCAGTATTCTCTTACGTTCCTCATAATAGATTCTAGCATTTTGCACATTTACTGACTTGAGGCTAATTGGCCCATAATTTTTTGTATATTTTCTTTCTCTCTCACTCTCTCCTTTTCCACTCTCTCTCTTCCCCACCTTGCAGCAGAGTTATTTATAATTTAAGAATATGAATTATTAAACATCTGGTCTATTTCACCAGAACTCCTCTCAATGGCTCAATTGGCTTGAGTTATGAAAGTTATCTCAAATCAAATGCTGGTTATTTTCTGCAACTTCAAAAAATTTTATTCTGATTAATTCTTCTGTGTAAAAGTCCAATGAAGTCTAAATTTCTGAATAAAATTTGATTCTCCAGAAAATCTCTTTCTCGACTGTCAGGCATTCACTGCGGGGGGAAATGAGACAAGCTGTCTGAAAAATAGATAAATCAAACCTTTAGAAGTTAAAATCTTTTCTCCTTTATCCCTGCAGCAGCTACACCCTGTGATGTCACTTCAATACTTCAGCTTTTTGCGACTAAGTAAAGATTGTATTTGTCTTTGTTTATAATATGAATCCTACTTGAATGCAAAATGTTGCTTAATCTTTTTCCTTAGAATCTCTTTTTGTATACCATTTCCATGTCTTTCTCTGCAGCTGTTTAATGGTGTCCTGCACATAAGAACTAAACTGGGTGTTCAGTACTGGTTCGAACCGGAGTATTTAGGTAGACCATGAAAAAGCTGGCTCTTTTTCTGGATGCTGGCAGCAAATGTCATGGTATGCCCAATTATATTTCACTTTTTTTGCTCTGTCAGTATCAGACACAAAAGTTCATTGGTTCTGCTCCCACTGTTCGACTGAATACTATAAGCCGATACTTCAATGCAGTACCGAGGTTGAGTTGTTAAATCAAGATCTTTCCTGCTTTTCAGGTAGAAGCAAAAGGTCCAAAATACCATATATTTGAGGAGCAAAGCATTCCCCTTGCCAAAATTCCTGTATCAGCCGTTGCCAACAAAAATAAACTGGCAAGTCAGTTTTTTTTTGGTTAGCATATCCTGCTGTTTGCTTATACACCAGACTGAATGAAGTATTTTTTATGAACTCAGTGAAGCGTCTTGGGGGTGCCCTCTATTGTTTCTTTGCCTGGGGTGACTAAATTTGAAAGAGACACCATGTAATTGAGAAAATTAATTTTTCCATGCCCTATACTCGGTTGCTTTCAAGTCCATTAGAAAAAGAACACAAATAGGCCATTCACCCCCTCCAGCCTGCTCCACCATTCACTAGGATCACAGCTGATCCAATGATCCATGTCCACTTTGCCCACAACGCTTGATTCCCCTACAGATCAAGAATCTATCTACAAGACCATAAGAAACAGGAACAGGGGTAGGACTTTCACATGCTATACTCCCTCACCAACACCACCACCTTTTGAGATTATCTTGTCTGGCTATGGCCAGATGTGGTGTGGGTTCAATAGATGTCGGGCTATGAATTGCTTCTTCACATACTTTGAGTCTGGAGCACAATAAATCCACATAGACCAAGTTCATATCCTGACTTTAAGGAAGCAATGGAGAAATTGGGTCTAGAAACAGCCAAGGATGTAGACTGTAGGAAAATAGAAGTAAATGCAGCTTTAATAGAATAGGCGTTACTAGGTTTTATGGATTCCACTGTTCACACAGGACATTCACTGGTCCTTTTGGATCTATTCTGCTTGAATGCAGTAGACTGGAACTCTCACTGGTCTTATTTTCACACTAAAGACTCTGTTTCTACACTTGCATGGCTTGAGCAGATTACAGTAGGACCTGTGAGGGCCACACCAGTGGGACCTGCCCCAAACTGCTCTTGTAAGATGAGATCCTAGGCATTGTTCTGTGACCCTGACTCTCAATGGAATTAAATCAGAATAATTGACTCTTTGGAGTCCCTGGCCAACTGTGGTATCAATTACATATGTTTAGAAAAGGTTGCTGCCTTTCTGAACTTCAAAGATTCACACCAATCCTCTCCTTGTCAGAAAGGAAATGAGCTGAAGTGCTACGCTTCCCCTCTATCACTGGAGTTGAAAAAACAGTGTTACTCACAAATTCCAACTCCCTTCCAACTCTAGAAATTGACGCCATAGACCAGAATCCTTGTGACGTAGACTAAAATCAATAAGATTTAACTGAAATATTCATTTTTTGATTTTTCTTTTGTTTGTTAGAGATTCCTGAGGATTGGAAATCCTCAGTATAAGCAACCAATAGCCACCACCTAAGAGAGACCTTCTTAAGCAATTTAACAATCTAGTGATAGGCCCCTGGAAGGAAGATAACCCCTAACACAAAAGTTGGTACAGGTTCAGGAAAGAGTCAGTACTGTCCATCCAGTTGTCAACCATAAATTAAATATCGAATGTGCTAATAACTCAGACTACAATAACTGTGTGGTCTCGATTGTACTTTGCTCTCAATATTAAAGAACACATTCATTTTCTCAAAGGACTGCATTATTTAGGCTTCATTTTTTGTCATTGATTTTTAAGCTGTCTGTGAGATTCTTTGCACTTCTTTCTCTCTGATTCAGCCACGTGTTCACTCAGAAATTGCTTTTCTTTCAATCTGAAGGTGCAAGGAACATCACTGGTAATAGCTGCTGCCTCAAAGGGATTCTGATTAGCAATGGAATTTCCCTTCTGTGCTTTGGGTATGTCTGGCTTCCTAATGCCGAATGCCAGAAAACTGACAGGGTAGGGGTAGAATTATCCCATAATATATGGTCAGTAGTTACAACTTTAGCTAAAAACAGTTTCCTCCTCCTCTTTTGTAATGAAGTAACAGACATTGTACTTTTTTATTTGTTGTGTGCTACATGCTTCATTTACAGATGTGAGCTATCCATGGTTTGTCTGTTTTTGCTGTCTTAAGAATGAAATATTGTAATCGTAACATCATTTGTGTCTGTGGCAAACTTGGTACTGAATTTTGCTCTTTACACCTTATTACTCTGATTTTATTTTTTGTGTGGTTTAACCAACAAAGTGATACTTTCAACAGCGAAATTACAATTTCAATTTGTGGTTGATTCAACTAATTTCCTTAGTTGTGTATGTGCTGGAACCCAGCTGAAAACATAGATGATACTGACATGTGACATTTGCAGTCAAAGTCAAGTAGAAGAATGACACTATTTATGATCTGTGTCTGATGCAGTTTTTGGTCACTTACGAACTGCATATAATATTGGCAAGTGCAAGGACAGATAGATGATATTACAATGTATTAAGGTCAACTTTTTATAAATTGTTGCCCTTCAATAATCTGGTCAAGGCAATATAGTCAAATTACTTATATCCCCTGTTTCAGCAGAATACATAGAAGAACCTTTTTTGATTCATTTCATTAAGTACAGCTTGGAAAAACAACATGTCCTTTAAATGGAGCAATTTACATAAAATCTGATATTTCCTAGAATGGCTGCTTAATTTTACGTTTTGGAAGTGGCTAAACAATTGAACCTTGAGAAGTGATGTAGATCTCAGCTACTCAGCAGCTGCTATCAGAGCAGCATCCAGTGTATTTTAAATAAAATGTCTTTTTTTTCTCTTTTGTAGGGATTGAAATATTAGCTATAGTTTTAATTCTGTCACTTTGCTGGAAGACCTAACATTTGATCAATCCTCCCACATATCTAATATTATTAAAGCATTACCTAAGCACTCACTTCCAATCTTCTATTTGCACATCAAATTTCCACACTTTTGTGTAAATAATTGTGTAATGTGTAATAGTTTGACTGTTTATAGAGTGTTTGCAAATCCTGTTTTAATCTGTTGGACTCAGCTAAAGCTCAGGATGGTGTTGCACTGGAGATTCAACCACTGAAGAGCGAGGAAGGTGGTGACCTGGAAGAGAGAGAGAAGAAGAAATCAAATATACCAAAGAAAGAAAAATCTGTCCTACAGGGAAAGCTCACCAAATTGGCAGTGCAGATTGGAAAAGCAGGTAAAAGGAAATTGCCTCCAGAAAAGAGCTGTATAGCCTTTTTATTTCAAATATGTTGTCGTCTTCTTTTTCTTTCTATATATTACTACTTCATCTCCGTATGTTCCTCAACTCTCACTTACCTAAATCCAAAAGTATCAAAGCTGTATGTTAAAATTAGAAAGTACCAGATGATTCCTGACAAGTGAAAATAGGAGTGAGATGTAAGCTAGCAAATTGGCGTCAAGTTAGATAAACGCATAGAATTGGGAAGTTCATGTTCATCAGTAGAACACAAACACCTAGGAGCAGTCATAATTTTAGAACTAATTGGTTCCCTTGTAACATACTACTGAGTGGGAAAGAGATTCACAAGCTGGAATGTAGTTTTTCAAAGTGTTTGGTCACGTTCAGTGCTTGAGGCTTTTGAAGAAGATTAGGATTCATGAAGTCAGTAGTTGGACCAAGTTGACTTGAGAATAGAAAACAGAAGACAGTGAATGAAAAAGACTAGAATGTAACTAGTAGAGATCTTCCAGGTAAAGCTCAGCAGGTCTGGCAGCCCCTGTGAAGGAAAAATCAGAGTCAACGTTTCGGGTCTGGTGACCATTCCTTAGAACCGGACTCGAAACGTTAACTCTGTTTTTTCCTTCACAGATGCTGCCAGGCTTGCTGAGCTTTTCCAGCAACTTTGTTTTTGTTCTTGATTTACAGCATCTGCAGTTCTTTCGGCTCTTATTGAGATCTTCCAGGTGTTCAGTTTGAGGGCCTTTTCAGTTTGTAGCAGAAACATAATTCAAACCTTTCTGCTGGCTGCATGTTTGGCAATTAGGAAAATATGACCACATTGGTAACTTGAAGTTTAAATTAATATAGATTGATGTAGAGATTGCTATAGACTTTTGGTGCTGACGTAATGGATGAAAACTTGCAAAACTAAAATGCAAAGAGTTGAGTAAGTTAGGATAAAAAAATCAGATTAACATTTGGAATTTTGCTTGATTAATTTTACATGCTAGACTGGAAATTTGGAGGTTCAATCTGTGATTTTTATCTCGAAGCACTTCAGTAGTTGTCTGACCAGACAGGTTGCCTGTGATGTGCATGGTTTGATCAATACATTTGTTTCCCCATTAGTGAAGAGGGCAGAGCAGTCTAGTTCTCAATCTTCTGATTTCTATTGATGCAAGTCCATGATAAACAAATCCCATTAGGACTTTCAGCAGTCTTTTCCACCTCCCAGGACCACTACCACCCGTTCCCGTTTACAATGCTAGACCTTTGCAGATGTTGTAGCTCAGCATGTGGCTTTCAGCAATGAGATCATTACGCAAATGAGGTCTGGCTTAGTCATTGATAGTAGAATAGACACACTGATGGGTCTAGTCAAAGATTGATGCTTTTTCCCTGGTAAGTGCATCTCGGTGGTATCTAGGTGTTGGTGTTGAATTGTAAATGAAGTGGGTGGGGCTAAGGAGTCAGCCGTGAGGTGAAAAATGAAAATCTACAAGTTTGTACAGTGATCTTTTTCAATGTGAAGGAATGGATGGACTATATTCCCCATCTGCCAGTTTTTATGAAGTGAGATTTGTCAAATTTAATTTTTCTTTATGAAGCAATAAATTGCCTTTCTCCATCATAAATTTGAGCACCAACGTGGCAAACCCACACATGGTAAAAATCCACGAGTGCAGCAGTGAAACCATAGTATGGTGTTATGCAAAAGTATTTTGCTGTTAAAACACCTAAGACTAGTTAAGTGTATTCTCATGTGAAGAGTAGTTAGCCGTTGATAAATTGATGCTTTTTCTTACAGTCGCCTTCTCTTGCCCCTCAAAAGGTACACTGGTAGGATTGCTATCGCCTTCTTTGGGAAAAGTATTCATGCTTTAACTATGCTCTTTGATTTTAAAAATATCCAAGATTCGCGAAACAAAATCTAAAACATGCTGGAATTAATGTCTAAATTATGGGACTGACCAGAAGATCCTCATCCATCTCCTAGTTATTAATTGTGAATATATTTATTAAATGCAAAGTACTGAGTAAATTAATGAGTGGTTTCCTATATTAGTTCAATGTGAATTGACAATTATCCTATATAACATGCGTTGTAGTATCAATTTTCATAGAATTCCTACAGTGTGGAAGCAGGCCATTTAGCCCATCAAGTCCCCGTCGACCCTCCAAAGAGCATCCCACCCAGACCCACCCAATCATTGTAACTCTGCGTTTCTCATGGCCAATCCACCTAACCTGCACATGTTTTGACTGTGGGTGGCGGGGTGGGGGGAAGCTGGAGCCCCCAGAGGAAACCCACGCAGACACAGGGAGAACATGCAAACATCATATGGACAGTCACCCAAAGCTGGAATCGAACCCGGAGCTGTGCGGCAGCAGTGCTAACCACTGTACCACGATGCAACCCAACCACTGAGCCACCATGCTAACATTTATACTTGGATAGTAAGAAGCAGATAATCATAATGTACACTATTAAAAGAATGTAGCTGTCTGTTCTAAATGGATAGTCAACTGAAATGTAAGTCCTATGAATTGTGAGGGCTGCTCTTTGAAAAAGAAATGTTGCTAAAAATGGTAGTCGAGGCTGAATTTTGTTTCTCTCCCTTTTTCTTTGCAGGTCTGCTTATGTCAGCAGTCACAGTCATCATCCTTGTGTTGTTTTTTGTTATTGATACTTTTGGGGTTCAAGGCAGACCATGGCTAGCAGATTGTACCCCAATTTATATCCAGTATTTCGTGAAGTTTTTCATCATTGGCGTCACTGTGCTTGTAGTGGCCGTACCGGAGGGTCTTCCGCTTGCTGTTACGATCTCTCTGGCCTATTCTGTAAAGGTAAGATCAAATGATACTTGAGAAATTTGGAAAACGGCCAAGGCCCATCAAACAGTACACAGTCAAGGTTGACAAACATAAGAGAGAGACCACGAGGAAAATTGAAGAGGAGTGGGTTTGTGATGGATTTCGCCTGATAAATGTGCCCTGAGTTACAAGTACGTTCAGCATTTGGAGAACATTGGTTCAGCAGTGTTGAGTGAGGGTTTATTTATTTGATTACGTGGAAAGCAGTTGAGGGTTAGTACAAGTTTTTGCATTGTTTTCAAGTGTAGAGTGAGCTGAAATGTATAAAAGAGGTACTTGACCCTCAATCAATATGCATAATATAATCCCTCAAGTGACTGCTGTTGTCCCTTTTTAGTTACCAGAAGTGTATTTTGTATGCATGTAATACCCTGGTTATGATTAGATAAGAATTGAATCGATAGAGCAGTCCCATCTAACTAGCGGCGGTGATGGTAATGGTCCAGTCCACTATCAGCCAGGTTCCAGGTAGGTCAAGAAAGATGAGGAGGGGTTGTTTAATTTTGTCTGAATTATTCGGTATGTCATTTGTGACTTTGATAAGAGCAGTTTTCAGATATGTAACAGGAGCAGAAACCTGATTCAAACAAGGTGTTGCAGGAAGGTTGAGGCCTTTGGGAATCAATGAGTTTGGAAATGGGATAGAAGTTTAGAAACTAGGCGTTCAAGGGATTTCATTTTTTTTAAGGGGATTGGTGATGACAGCAAATTTAAAAGAGACTGATGAAGGCACCAAACCTTCAAACTTGGAGTAGTATCGAGGGGCAGGAGATGGGTCTCATGCAAGATGAGCTTGAAAAGGGTCTCTGAAAGTAGAGACTTACAAGTTTACAGTAAGGATGGGGGAGCTTAGGAGGAAGTTTGACCTTGTGGAAGTGAGGGGTGTCACAGATGGCTGATTGGATGGACTTTGCTAATAACCAAGAAATCCATGAGCTCCTTGCATATTGTTAGGGGTGAGGGGGAGCGGAAAATGGGATTTAAGAAGGAATTTTGCAGTAGACATGAAACACCGGGGCTATTATATTATTTCAGGACTATCCTGGAATAGCGTGTGGTTTTATCAGACAAGAGTAGGACCCAATAACGTTTCACGTGTTCCAGACAGATTTGTCATTGGTTTTCTGAACTAGTTGTCTGCCACATCAATTCAAGTTTGTGTCCCTTGAATTTAAGGGAATGGGGGGTATGGCAGAGTACAAGGGTTTTTTTAAATAGAATCCCTACAGTGTGGAAACAGGCCATTTGGCCCATCAAGTCCACACCAACTCTCCAAAGAGCATCCCACCCAGAACCACCCTGCTACCCTATCCTTTTATCCCTACATTTCCCATGACCACTCCACCTAACCTACACATCTTTGGACTGTGGGAGGAAACCAGTTAACCCGGAGGAAACTCTGACAGACACGGAAAATATGCAAACTCTACCAGACAGTCGCCCGAGAATGGAATTCAACCTGGGCCACTGGTGCTGTGAGGCAGCAGTGCGACGCACTGAGCTGCTGTGCGTTGTAATCTCTTTATTGGGAATTAGGGCATCAAAGCTGGAGGTGAGGATGCTCCGAAATAAATCAGTAGCTACAGGAATTTGGTGTTCAAGAGAGGGCCAACGCTTTGTTGTGCATTTATAACTGAGCATAACATTGATGCAACAGATGAGAATTCGTTGCTTGATGTTTTGGCTTGGTTATTTAAATAATTTTCCTATGCCCTAACCTCCTACCACACCCACTTCCATTGACGTTATTATGAGTCTTTCAGTTTAGACAGCGATGTTGATGTCTTTTTATTTGTAAAAACCATTTCAATTGATTAAATGCTGTTCTCTGGTTACAGGTTTTGTATGTTCTCTTGCTTGTTATGCACGGTTTAAAAAATTTGGACATTTTAAAGTACCCTCGGATTAGATGTCCAAAACAGGCTAATTTGAAATGAAGAGTTGTTGATGCTTTAGAATTCAGTTAATTTATAATTTTTCCTCCCTGGAATGATTTTCTAAAGAAGCCTTGTGAACATGTTCTACCTACCTATTGTGTGCAGTAAGATTATTGTCATAACCCATTAAGCCAGCATTCCCTCCTTCAAATCCATTATTCAACCATGGTGTCATTCATTAGATCTCTCTCTACCATTATAGCACAATAACAGTGAGATGTATTTCAGTATGTCTGCTTACATTATAGAATTATAAATGCTGTGTAATATTATGCTGTATAATTTTTAGTTATATGACCCTGACGTTTTTTTGTCTAAATATGTGGTGTTAAAAAGAGGAACGGTGTTTCAGTCTGGATTGTGTTTAAGACAGCTCAAAAGCCTTCTCTTGTATTTGCAAATTCAAAACTCCAATTACAGAGTGATTGGGCAATTTCAGAAATGCATGTAGACGAGAAACATGTTTAACTTGTCATTGTCTGAAAAAGATACCGTGGTCAGTTGTGCTCTTGAGAATGAAGTTCCTCGTAATAGTTCAGAAAACCTTATCTTAAATCATGTTAAGTGGTTGACAAGTTTCAAATTGTTTGAAAAATTTCATGAAAATTGAAAGAAATATGATGCTGTAAATTAGAAACAAAAACAGAAATTGCTGGAAAAGCTCAGCAGACCTGGCAGCACCTGTGGCGAGAAATCGGTGAATGTTTTGGGTCCAGTGACCCTTCCTCATTGAAAAATGTCATGATCGGGTAGAGTAGGTGATATTGGTTCAAATCCTAGCCTTTGAATTCCCCAGACAGTATATATTGATATTGAGATAACAAGGTGTAGAGCTGGATGAACACAGC